AGAGGTTGTTGCCTGGTTTCTCCTCTAGGATTTTCATGGTTTCCTGTCTCACATTTAGGTCTTTCATCCATTTTGAGTTAATTTTTGTGTATGGTTTAACAAAGTGGTCCAGGTTCATTTTTCTACATGCCACTGTCCAGTTTTACTCAACACCATTTGCTGAAGAGACTGTCTTTATTCCATTGGATATTCTTTCCTGCTTTGTCAAAGATTAGTTGGCCATGCATTTGTAGGTCCATTTCTGGGTTCTCTATTCCGTTCCATTGACCTAAGCGTCTGTTTTTGTGCCAGTAACATACTGTCTTGATGATTACACCTTTGTAATACAGCTTGAAGTCCAGAATTGTGATGCCTCCAGCTTTGGTTTTCTTTATCAGCATTACTTTGGCTATTCAGGGTCTTTTCTGGTTCCATACAAATTTTAGAATTGTTTTTTCTAGCTCTGTGAAGAATGTTGGTGTTATTTTGATAGGGACTGCTAGAAGAGAGACCTTTTAAATTAAGCAGTTGAGAGTTGTTATCCCACAGCACCGGGACTTTACTACCTGGAAAAGAGATCCTCACCAGAAAAGGACCTAGGGCTGCCAGGGTCTCACAAGGCTGCAGGCATAAAGGGAATTTACTCTAAATGAGCCCACCTCACTGGATAGGTCAGCTTTGGCTGAACATAGGAAGGGCCGGAAATGGCACGGGCAGACTTGCAGCCCAGACGCCACTAACCTAGCCTGGGGCTGAAGCCTGGGTTGTATCTGTCCATCCAGGCGGCCAGAGCCAGGAGTGGGCCAAGGGGGACACATCCCCAAGGCAGCACTTCACATCCATATACTTTTAAAAACGTTTGCATAGGCTCTGCATGGCTCATATTTGATTTTTATCTTTGTCATCATCTTGAGAAATAGGCCACACGCATGTCAGGAATTCTACTCCACAGCTTGGGAAAATAATGCAATCTTATGTGGCACGATGCACTGAGCATCGGCTCTGTGCCCCAGGGTACCCTGAGGTACATAGAGCATAAGGAGCCAGGCTGCTCGGTGCCTATAGGAACTGGAAACCACAGGAGACCCATGGGGTGCAAGGCCAGGGTCTAGGCCCAGAAGGGCATGCCTGTGACCGCCTTCTGATCCCCCTAGACACACAGTTGTGAGCGGGCAAATGACTAAAAGTGTTCTCCAACACCCCAGGCTTTTTTTAGGGGGCAAGAGGAAGTACATGTTTTCTTGAAATCTAGCATCCAGGCTTTTAAAAGTCACACAAATTGGGATACAGCAAATGGCGAATTTCCTCACAGGTACAAGTTAACAATGGCCTTGGGGGGGTGTGGGAATGACCTCTGGTGCCCAGAATTACTCATCTCGGCAGAGGAACCAGAAGGACTTCAGAGTCATGTGTATTCAAAGCTTACTTTCCTCTTTTGGTATTTCGTTGTGAGCGATTTCACTCCCTTCTGACCAGGAAGATCTGAGGCTTCCCCTCACTGAATCAATAGGTTTCTGGGCTTGTAATCTGCTCAAGCTTCCACCATGAAAGATTTGGTTCTCTCCACTCAGAGCTGAGCCTGGAAAACCCAGGGGAGCCACAGGCGAAACAGTGCCAGAAAATGTGTGCTGTGTGGGCAAAGGAGTGCTGGCAGAAGAGGTGTCCAGGCAGCAGGTGGGGAGGGCAGCTGAAATGTGTTCTACAGTTCCCACCCCCTCCTGGGTGCCCTCTCCACTGGCAAGTGCAGGTGCCGAGGGCAGGTGTGGTCAGAAGACCTGGGGGAGCAGGAGGCAGAGGTAGGGCCCTTGTGACCAGAGCCCAGGATAGGCACCAACACTTCTGCAAGGCATCAGCACAACACGGTCAGTAAGTCCAGTGCCAGAGGCCCAGAAAACTAGGCCAATGCTGCACCGCATCAGGCCCCCACATAGTAACTCCTCTCCTAGCTCTGAGAACACATAGGCCCTTCTTCAAGGAAAGTGGGAACATTCCTGGGAGAGTGCGCATTTATCCAAAAGGGACAGCACCACCCATCCCACCATCAGGGGGAATTCTGAACAAGGTAAGAACAGTCAGAACTAAAGAACAGTTGGCTGTGCGTGCCATCTGCAGGGTGTATAATTGTGGCTCTCATACAGTATGGATTTTGCTGCCCATTGGGTTGATTATCTGTCAGGTTCTCAAGCCTCCCAAATTGGCCACACTTCATGATTTCTCCGATGCTGGCAGCACCTTCATTGTTCCTTGTGCTTCTGCCCAAGGTCTTTATCTGAGATGCTTTCCACTCTCTAGTCTTGGTCTCCCACCTGTAACCATTCCTCTGAACGGTCACACCTAAGTGTCCACTCCTCCAAGCCCCTCCCACAAGAAGCCAACTCCTCCTTCTCCCATTAGCCTGTATCTCATTGTCATCCCGCTTCCTTCACGTCAGACGAACTCAGACATGGGAAGACACCTTGTGTCTTGCCCTGAACCCGATGTAGTAATGTTTAGAGTGTAGGCCCTCAACAACAAAACATATATGCATGCATTAATGATCTTGGTTCTTACAGCCACACTCTGAGGTGGAAGGCAGGTACTCTTATTCTCATTTACAAATGGACATATAGCTCAAAGTTCATTGCCTTGCTCAGGGTTGAATAGTGAGTAAAAGAAATGTTTGTCAAACTGGACCCAGGATCAATAAGCTTCTAGACCCCAAACTGCACACATAGAGCATCCAGATCTTGGCCTCTCCTACTGTTCCCAGCAGGACAGATGATAGACAGACAGACAGATAGATAGACGATAGACAGATGGCTCATAGGTATTAATGGATACATGCGGGGAGGGGGAGGAGTGGTCAGAGGACACAAATGATAAAAAGCTAATGAGGTAAAACTTTAATAGCTGAATCTAAATAAAAGATGACAGCTCAGGGCCTGGAGCCTGCTTGGGATTCTGTGTCTCCCTCTCTCTCTGCCCCTCCCCTGCTCGCACTCTGTCTCTCCCTCTCTCTCAAAAATAACCATTAAAAATAATTTTTTTAACGTTTATTTATTATTTTTGGGACAGAGAGAGACAGAGCATGAACGGGGGAGGGGCAGAGAGAGACGGAGACACAGAATCGGAAACAGGCTCCAGGCTCCGAGCCATCAGCCCAGAGCCCGACGCGGGGCTCGAACTCACGGACAGCGAGATCGTGACCTGGCTGAAGTCGGACGCTTAACCGACTGCGCCACCCAGGCGCCCCTAAAAATAATTTTTAAAAAAATTTTAACGTTTATTTATTATTGAGAGACACAGAGAGACAGAGCATGAGCAGAGGAAGGGCGAGAGACAGGGAGACACAGAATCGGAAGCAGGCTCCAGGCTCCGAGCTGTCAGCACAGAGCCCGACTTGGGGCTCAAACCCACGAACCATCAGATCGTGACCTGAGCCGAAGTCTGATGCTCAACTGACTGAGCACCCAGAGGTGCCCCCAAAATAATTTTTTAAAGGGTGTTCTTTGAACTTTTCTTATTCTAACCTCTGTGTAAGTTTGAAATTATTTTCAAAGGAAAAGTCAAAACCACAACAAAATTATCTGTTTCATTCTTCATTGCTAGCTACCCAGCAACTAGCTGTAATGCTAAAATAATCCATTGGGAAGTTAAAAGCCGACGCGATGCTTCAGGAAGTGCTCATTTCTGTCTCAGGCCTCTGCA